TCGCACCGTGCGGTGCGGATGGCGGACGCAGTTAATCATTGACCCCGCTCCTCCTCGCCTCCCTCCTCGTTCCGTCGGCCGCGGCCCTTGGCCTGTCGTCCGGCCTCTCTTGTTCTTCTTCGGTCCCGTTCGCTCGGTCCCGTCGGTGGCCCTCGGACCCTCGGTGAAATAAGAGCTGCAACGGTTGCCATCATCCAGTTTTGCCAAGAGCGGTAGTACTCATTTGATTCATCGTCCCACAGCCGTGAGCAAGCAAGCAAGCTCCTTCTCCTCCTTTTCTTTTTTCCTCATCCTCCCCCTCCGTTTCTTCTTGCTCCCCCATGCGTTCCCCGAAGTCTTTCCAAACCGACTCGGGGAACAACTGGCCCGATAGCTTGGCCAAGCTCTAGCCCAGCTGTCGGCCACAGAGGCGCTTCCAAAGGGGCAGGGGGCGGCGGTGACTCGCCGTAGGCGTCTTCGATCCGCCGCCCCCTGTTGATTCATCACAGGGGTGCCTGGCGTGCTGAACCCGTTCGGTCATGGTTTTGGTTCTTTTCCAACAAAACTCCCCCTGGCGATTCGGCCCCCAAGACGGCCCAAGAGGCCTCCAAGAGGTCCTCCAGGAGGGCCCGAAGAGATCAAAATCATGGATGTTCCTTAGGTTTTTGAAAGATTTGGGAAATTGTTCTTTTTCTGCATTCCGACGGCTCAAGACGGCCCAAGAGGCCCCCAAGATCGCCCTAAGGTCACCCACGCCAAGATGGCCCATGACGGCCCAAGAGGCTCCCAAGACGGCCCCAAGAGGGCCCCAAGAGGCCCCAAGACGGTCAAGATGGCCTTCAAGACGGCTCAGATGGACAAGATGCACCAACAACGGTCTAAGATGGCCTCAAGATGGCCCAAGACGGCCCAAGAAAGATGGCCCCAAGAGGCCTCCAAGACGGCCGAAAAGGCCTCCAAGAGGTCTTCCAGGAGGACCCGAAGAGATCAAAATTATTGATTCCACTTGTGTTTTTGAAGGCTTTTGGCATTTGCTCTTTTTCGGCATTCCGACGGCTCAAGACGGCCCAAGAGGCCCCCAAGATCGCTCCAAGATCACCCACGAGGCCTCCAAGATGGCCCCATGACGGCCCAAGAGGCCCCCAAGACGGCCCAAAAGGGCCCCAAGAGGCCTCAAGACGGTCAAGATGGCCTTCAAGACGGCTCAGATGGCCCCAAGATGCCTCCAAGACGGCCCAAAATGCACCAAAAACTGTCTAAGACGGCCTCAAGATGGCCCCTACTCCTCATCTTTTCCCATCATCCGCATCCTCCTCCTAATCATCATCATCCTCCCTCTCCTGATCCTCCTCATATTGCTCCCCCACGCGTTCCTCGAAGGCTTTCCAAACCGACTCGGGGAACAACTGGCCCGATAGCTTGGCCAAGCTCTAGCCCAGCTGTCGGCCACATAGGCGCTTCCAAAGGGGCAGGGGGCGGCGGTGATTCGCCGTAGGCGTCTTCGATCTGCCGCCCCCTGTTGATTCATCACAGGGGTGTGGTGTGCTGAACCCTTCCGGTCTTGGTTTTGGTCCATTTTCAAAAGAACTCCCCCTGGCGCTTCGGCCCAGCCCGCCATGATCCCGGAAAGGACCGGAAACTGCAAATGTCAATGCCTGCCCCGCTCCAAGATGGCCCCAGATAGCCTCCAAGACGGCTCAGATGGCCCGAAATGGCCCCCAAGTTCGCCTAAGACGGTCGAAGATGGCTTCCAAGACGGCCCAAGAGAGCCCAGGATGCCTACAAGTCCGCCCAAGAAGCCACCAAGACAGCCCGAGACGGCCCAAAAGGTGCCCAAGAGGACTCCAAGACGGCCGAAGAGGCATCCAAGAGGTCCTCCAGGAGGACCCGAAGAGATCAAATGCATTGATTTTCCTCGGGTTTTTGAAGGATTTTGGCATTTGCTTCTTCTCGGCATTCCGACGGCTCAAGACGGCCCAAGAAAGCCCTCAAGGTCGCCCCGAGATCACCCACGAGGCCTCCAAGATGGCCCCATGACGGCCCAATAGGCTCCCAAGACAGCCCCAAGAGGGCCCCCGAGAGGCCTCCGAGACGGCCAAGATGGCCTCCAAGACGGCTCCGATGGCCCCAAGATGCCTCCAAGACGGCCCACCATGCACCCAAGACGGCCTAAGATGGCCTCAAGATGGCCCAAGACGGCCCAAAAGGTGCCCAAGAGGCCTCCAAGACGGCCCAAGAGGCCTCCAAGAGGTCCTTCAGGAGGACCCGAAGAGGTCAAAATCATCGATGTTCCTTAGGTGTTTGAAGGATCTTGGCATTTGCTATGTTTCTGCATTCCGACGGCTCAAGACGGACGCAAGGCTTAGTGGCGTGTCTGCCCACGCGACCAGACGGACGCAAGGCTTAGTGGTGGTGGTGGTGGACGGCTCAAGACGGCCCAAGAGGCCCCAAATATCGCTCCAAGATCGCCCACGGGGCCTCCAAGATGGCCCCATGACGGCCCAAGAGGCCCCCAAGACGGCCCCAAGAGGGCCCCAAGAGGACTCCGAGACGGCCAAGATGGCCTCTAAGACGGCTCAGATGGCCCCAAGATGCCTCCAAGACGGCCAACCATGCACCCAAGACGGCCTAAGATGGCCTCAAGATGGCCCAAGGCGGCCCAAGAGGCCCCCAAGAGGTCTCCAAGACGGCCCAAGAGGCCTCCAAGAGGTCCTCCAGGAGGACCCGAAGAGGTCAAAATCATCGATGTTCCTGAGGTTTTTGAAGGATCTTGGCATTTGCTCTGTTTCTGCAGTCCGACGGCTCAAGACGGCCCAAGAGGCATCCAAGGTCGCCCCGAGATCACCCACGAGGCCTCCAAGATGGCCCCATGACGGCCCAAGAGGCCCCCAACACGGCGACCTCCAAGACGTCCAAGATACTATCCAAGACGGGCCTGAAGCGCACCAAGAGAGCCCCGAATCGGTTCAGAGAGACCTCCAAAACGGCGTCCGATGGTGTCAGACGGTTCGGGAACGCCCTAAGACTGCCAAAGAGGCCCCCAAGAAGCCCCCAACTGCCCCCAAGAAGCCCCCAAAGAGGCCCAGGGAGGCTCCCGGCTTCCAGGAAGCTCCGCAGAGGCCTCCCAAGAGGCCTCGCAAGACGGTTCCCAAGAAGTATCCTCCTCCTACCTCCTCCTTCCCCATAATCCTCATCCTCATCCTCATCCTCATCCTCCTCCTAATCATCATCCTTCTCCATCTCCCGATCCTCCTCCTATTGCTCCCCCGCGCGTTCCCCGAAGGCTTTCCAAACCGACTCGGGGAACAACGGGCCCGATAGCTTGGCCAAGCTCTAGCCCAGCTGTCGGCCACATAGGCGCTTCCAGAAGGGCTGGGGGCGGCGGTGAGTCGCCGTAGGCGTCTTCGATGCACATACATACACAGATGCAAAAACGCACACGCACATACCATATGTAGATGTAAGCAAATGCGAATGCAGACGCACATGGATATACGTAGGCACGAACATATACACAATAAGTTTCGCATACCAGAACATACACACAGTTACACATGTATATACGCACATGCACATGCTTACTTCACGTCCCTATGCATATGCATATGCGTACGTGTTTTCAACGATATGCACATAAACATGTGCAAGTATACATGAGCATATGCATATGCATATGCAACAACCTGCTCAAACACACATACATATATATACATATACACACATCTGTGTAAGTGCATATGCATGCACGTGTGCATGTTTATCTACATACGCATGTGCATGTATATCCACATACATATACACGCCGGCGCACATGCAGTCACGATGATATCTGCAGATGCATAGGCACATACATATACAATTACACACATGTTGTGAAAATCCAGATCACAACATAGACCTCAAGTGTCAGTTCACACATATTAAATGTGGTTGAGCAGCACGCACACACGCACGCACGCACGCACACACACACACACACACACACACATTTGTTAGCGTCGCGGCCCTGCGCACGGCGACAGGGCGGAGAAGGTCGTGAAGGAACGAACGCACGCACGCATGCGCAAACACTATATATAGACACAAATGTCGAAACACACATATATATATATATATACATATATATATATATATATGTGTATACAGTCAAGCCGTATAGCAAGGATGCGCGATAAGGATTCAAGGGCCTTACCAAGGATGGGCCTAGGAGGCAAGGATGCAAGGGTACCCTTGGGAAGGTTGCGCATCCTCACTATGCGGGTTGACTGTATATGTGGCGTCGCGGACACGCACGCGGCGGCACGGCGCAGAGAGACAGGCGAAGAGGCACGCGCGGCCAGCCCAGGCCACGCGGCGTGGGGACCCAGGATCCGCCCATGGGGAACCAACGGGATCACTCAAGGGGGGCCAACGCGAGGGGAAGGGAGGGGACAGACACGGGGAACGCGAGGGGATCACTCAAGGAGGGGACAGGGGGAGACACGGGGAGAGACAAGGGCACGGTCAGGGCACAGCACAACTACAGAGGGACGAAGCGCAGGCAACACAGGCCGCAGAGGAGGGCCGCGAGGGGAGAGACGAAAGGCAGCCGAGGCCCGGCCAAGGCAGGTGCGGCGCCCACAAACACACACACACACACACACGCACACACGCACACACGCACGCACGCACGCACGCACGCGCACACACACACACACACACATCGATGTACATATATATATATATATATATATAGACGCACACACACACATGTTGGCGATCGCGGCCTCGCGCGCAGCGACGAGGCGGAGCAGCGCACACACACACACACAAACACAAACACAAACACAAACACAAACACAAACACAAACACAAACATAAACACAAACAAACGCAAACCACATAACAAACAATCACACAACACAACCTATCAGCAACACCCCCCTCGCAAGACCCCCCTTCTGCGCGCCGCCGATCGCGGGTGGGTGGGCACTCTGTCGTCCTGAGCGCGCGTCCCTCCCCCCAGGGCCCGCCCAACAGAATCAGCCCTGGCGCGGCCAGAAAAGGATCACCGCGATACCGACGAGGCAGATCGCGGACCCCACGGCGTCGCCCATGTCCACCGGCACGCCGTCGAAGACCCTGCCCCAGGCGAAGCTCATACCGATGAAGACGCCGCCGTAGACCGCGTAGAGGCGCCCGAAGTCGTCGATCGGCTGCAAGGTGGGGACGAAGCCGTACGCCGCGAGCACCGCGCATCCGGCCAAGGCCCACCACCACGGCCTGCCCTCGCGCACCGCCTTCCACACTAGCCAGCCGCCGCCAATCTCCGCCGCGCCAGCCAGGAAGAACAGCAGGCCGGGGGGGTCCAGAGGCGCCCCTGGCCCAGAGAGCCCCCAGCGAATCGAGCCCTACGGGGGCCCATCGGCCTCGCGAAGAGGGGCTCTGAAGGCCGCCGGGGCCTCCCCAGAGCTCCTGCGGACGCCCTGGGCCAAGGACGCGTCTGGCAGCACCCGAGCAGGGCCACCCTGAGAACCACCGCGGGGCTCCACGGCCGCGCCTCCTCCGGCGGGGCGTCCGCCAGCAGGGGGAGAGGGAGGCTCGGCCCTTCGCCCTCCATCGCTGCGCAAGGCGCAGGCGGGCCAGGGCCCCTTCTCTGGCCTGGGCCGAAGGAGCCCGGGCCAGACGGCTACGGACGCTTGGCAGTGCGCACGCACCCCGGAGCGATCAACAGCCAGCATGGAACGACCAACACCTTCCAAGGCGACGGGGCCAAAGCCTCCACGACGGAGGTCGAACATCCGTTTCGGAGGTCTTCGGGGGCATCTGCGGCCCCTTCCCCCAGCAAGGTCACGCCCGAAGAAAACGGCACTCAACCGGAGTGGGGGGGCGTCCGTTTTGGCCAGCGGATGGAACCGAGAGGAGGAGGAGGAGGAGGAGGAGGAGGAGGAGGAGGAGGAGGAGGAGAAGCAGGGGGAAGAGTAGGAGGAGGAGGAGGACGAGGAGGAGGAAGAGGAGAACGAGGAGGAGCAGGAAGGAGGGAGGGAGGGAGAGGAGGGAGGACAAGGAAGGGAAGGAGGAGGAGGAGGAGGAGCAGGCAGAGGAGGAAAAGACTAGAGAAATGGATGTCAGAGGTGAATCTGAAAGCAGACCTTTTCCCTCTAGACAGAAAGCATGAAGGCGGTAGAACGCGCGAGTAAGGAATAAGGCGGGCACGGGCGCAGTGCTGGCAGGGGCGAGAACAGCGGCAGGCCCAGGCAAGGAAGGGGCGAATAGGCAGGGCAAGTACTTTTCGAATCTGGCGCTCCGACCCGTCCGTCGTACCCTCGTCGGTCCCCACGCGCCAACCGCACAAGAACCCGCAGTGTGATATTCAGCTGGGGTGCTCTGCTCACACATTCATAAGAAGTTGTCCGCAGTGCGCGCGCACGAGACTACTGACGGAGCACGCGCTAAATCGATGCTGCACTGTCAGTGGGAACAGCACTCACGTGACCCCATCGACTTCCACACTGTCCCTGGCCGTGAGTGCCCGCGAAAGTTGCTGCTCTTATGCTACAATGACACTAGACGCCCTTTACCTTACTGGGCGAGGGAACTCTGCTGGGAGCTCGGCACGGTGTTCCATTTTTTCTCGCTGCTGAGCTCGGTCGTGTCGTGGTCGGAACTGATCTGCCATTCATTGCAATGAGGATGAGCTCCAGGACCCGCATGTCCCGAATGTCGCACCAAAGCAGGTCCTCGATTTGCTTGGTGCGGAACTGTTCAGCCAACAAACACAGGTCACCAAACATGCTGTTTTCGGAAGGCGGCCGCAGTGGACCCATGAGCAGCGCACTGAAAACGGACATGCCGTCGATGACGAGATCTGCAGGGATCGAGTAACCTCCCTCCCCCCTCAACCTCCTGATCTCCCCAGCAGAGGCGGGGCCGTTCACCATCTCGTGCACAGCGACGAGTTACGCCTGCAGTCCGTCAGCTGCACCGCATGCTGCGAGCAGCTCTGAGCTGAACGAGGATCTGCACACCAGCTTGTGCGATCGGCTCACTGCGTCCAACAGGTGGCACACCTGTTTGCCGGTGCGGCGGCAATTTCCGAGACGCATGTATACGGCCCCTCGCATGCCGTATTCTGTCTCCTCCACCCTCTTGAACGACCCGTCTCTGCGAACGCTGAGTCGCAAGGCACACCCCATCGCTGGAAATGTGATGCGTGCCTTGATCTTCTGCGCAGACAGAAGGACTGAGTTAAACAGCACCACGTGACGGATGAGCAGCTCGTTCCTGGTTGCAGGGCGACGATGCACGCTGCGAAGCGGTGCTGGGCGAGCAGGGCGTCGGCCGCTGCTCCCAGGAGGGAAACAAAAAGGTCTGGAAGCTGACCTCCGACCGGCACGTCGGCATTTGCACTGACCAGGTCGACGTTCCTGACTGGCATCAGGGCATCGATGAATTCGCAGTGGTCGAGCGTGACTGCACCATCGGCACTGCGGCGCCGGTGTACTCCACAGTCGGTGAAGTCATTGTAGTCACCGTTGCTTTTGCCGAAGACGCTCTCGATGTAGCTGATCAGCTGGTCGACGTGCTTCGTGCGTCCGGCGATATTCAGATCATCGGTCTGTTTGGACAATACGAACACTAATTCTGAAAGGTTCGTGCCAAACGCACCAAACGTCTCGCGTTTGACCTCGAGCTCCGGGTGCCACCTGGTCGAATTGGCGTTGCACTTTGGTGAGCGCGTGGCCCGGGCGAGCTTCATAGAGAAGGCTCGGGGCGCCAGTGCCCGGCTTGATGCAGCGCAGGCTTTCGGTCCGCTCGTCGAAGCCCCCGTGGTCGGGCACCTGCCAAAGGATGGCTGCACTGCCCGTCGGCAAGGTGACGCTCACCTCGCGGGGTGCACCACATTGTTCCTGCACCTCGTCGTAGGTCATGCTTTGCAGGAACGCCTTCTCGACGTCCACGGCGACGCACACCCAGTCTGGGCGACGCACCGTGGCGCCCGCTGAGAAGCCCGCTTCGCTGCCCCAGCGAACGTCTCCAGGGCTCCAGCGTCCATATCGCGGAAGCTCCTCGGCGCCATGCGGCACCGGAAGATCTGAACTGACTTGCCGTCCAATCCCTCCCACTGCTTCCACTTAAAGACATGCCTGGAGTCCATCACGTTCCGGGCGCCCCTGAGAGGTCGTAGTTCGAAACATACGTACTTGACCCAGATGGTGAGCTCTTCGAGGATGGCCGCTGCGACCTCTTTGAACAGGCTGGACACTTCCTCTCGTTGGACAGATGGTCGGTGTCACGCTTGACGGCCGCGGTCTTGATGGCGAGATAGATATTAAGCACGGCTGTCCAGGGAGCGCTATCGACACAGTCACCAGACGCTGCTTCTTTGAAGCTCAGGAGTGGTTCCCCGATCTAAAGGCGAAGCTGTTCCAGCGGGTTGGGCGCGTCCAGCGGGGCAGCAAAGTCATCGGCGCCGCCCCACCACGAGTGCCAGCGCACCCACGGTCTGCGAGTGCGAGCCTTCGCCGCTGCCTTGGCCTTGGGCGCCGCAGGCCCCCTGCCGCCGTCTCCCACGGCTCCAGCACCCGTGCTATCGCCCCTCGTGCCACTTCTTCCACGAGAGCAACCAGCAAACAAACCCATCGAGAAGTCCGCTGCCCCTCGGGGGAGGGCTGTCCCATGCGCGCGAGACACGGACAAGCGAGAGCACAACGGGACACGTGCGTTGTAACCCCCCCGGCGCCATCTCTGCCTGCACGACCGTCGGAGGGCGCGCGCCCGCACCGGTGGCACCGTTCGCTGCGCTTGAAAGATCCACCGGCAGCGGCAGGCGGTCGGAGCACTGAACACAACGTCCAAGGGCGCGACCACCGTCCGTCGCAAACTCTGAGCTGCAAGGCCCCTCGCGAGCAGGCCGCCGGAGCGCCCCCCCCCCACAGCGGATGAGGAAAAGAAGACTGCGAGCTGGCGCACACCAGCGGACTGGACGAAAGGATATCGCTGTTGGCCGCGGGACAACGGAGTCTATTGCGCCCACGGGGGACATCACAACCTTGAGCCACGACGGCTACGGAGGAGAGACGAGGAGGCGGAGGGAGAGGAGAAGGAGGAGGCGGGAGGAAGAGGAGGAGGAGGAGGAGGAGGCGGAGGGAGGCGGAGGGAGGACGAGAGAATCAAACCTCTGTTTGGGGACGTCTTTGCGACTCCCGGGCTCCCTTCCTTCCCAACAGGGCTCGGCCGACGCCCGACCTCATCGGGGAGAGGGCGGGAAGACCTGCACCAGGAGGGGACGGAGGTGGTGGAGGGGGCGGGGGGGAGAGAGGGAGGGAGAGGGAGGGAGAGGGAGGGAGAGGGAGGGGAGGGAGAGGGGAGGGGGAGGGAGGGAGGGAGAGAGGGAGGAGGGGAGGGATGGGAGGGAGGGAGGGCGAGAGGGGGGAGGGCAAGCTAGGTGCGCCAGCGCCTCTTCTGACATCCTCTCCCTCCCTCCCGTCCCTTCCCATGGCGCCGATTTGTCAGCACATATCCGCGGACGCATGTTATGGCCGATCTGCGACTCCCACAGAAAGACCACTTCGTGCGTGCACAGGAGGAAGAGATGGCGGGTGAGCAGGACGATGAGCGGAAGGAAAAGGATGAGGAAGAACAGCAGCAGCACGAACTAAAGCGGAAGAAGAAGGAAGACAAGGAGCACCAAGGGAAGGCGGAGGAAGGGAAATGAGGAGGACGACAACGACGAAGAAAGACTCGGAGTCAGAAACGTAGCTCACGTTGAGGCGAGACGAACAGCAACAAAGGAACTGGAGTGGAAGGAGCGGGAGGAACAGGAGGACCAGGGGAAAGCGGAGGAGAGGAAATGAGGGGGGACCGCAATGAATCTAGACTGGGATCTAGAAAAATTGGCCCGCGCTGGGGAGAGAGCGCCATTCTGAACGACGGGAGCAAAGCGCCGATCCAAAAATAAGGCTCACGCTGCAGCGGGAGCATCATTTTTGAAACACCGAACACGATCGGGTGTCAAGCACAACCTTTAGGAAAAACACAACTGTTGAAACCCTGTGAAAAGTAATACGCGCAGGGGGGCGGGCCACTTTTCACAATCTTCGGGGGGGAAAGGAGAGAAGTACTGATATTGAGTATCTGTCAACAAGCAGGAGAAGGACCACAAGCCCTTTGGGCGTAGGTGGTTGAACGAACTGCGTCGCATCTCTGACAAAACCCCTCCTCCCCCTGCTCGGGGGAGGGGTTTATCACTGCCCCTCAATATACACACACACACACCCTCCCCCACCCGACTGCAGTCCAATCCGAGCCCCACCATCCCTGTCGAAAAAACAACACCGAATGCACCTTGCCTCCAAATCTGGAGCGTGCGCGGGCGCCCCGCAACCACTTTGCACTCGTTTTTTACAGAGACGGCGGGGGGGCCGTCATGTTGCTCGCTGCGCGCAGGCCAAGCCATCCCTGTCAAAAAAACAATACATAGTAAACTTTGCCTCTACATCGGGAGCATGCGCGGGCGCCCCGCGATCACATTGCATTGGTAATTGACAGGAGCGGCGGGGGTGCCGTCATGTTGCTCGCTGCGCGCAAGCCAACCATCCATTTCAATAACAATACAGA